TCTGCAGTTGCTGCCTTCGTTCTCCCTACTCTGATTATGGCTATTTGACTTGAGTTCCATTGCTTCTGAATTCACCAGAGCGGAAGGCTTGCTCTCTGATCCAATCCTGACATACCTGCCTCACGGAAGGTTTTACTGTTTAAAAAAGGCACATTTGTGAACATCATTTCTGTCAATCCCATGACATCAGTGGAGACAGCACTGTGACCCCCATTATGAGGCTCAGAAAGGGTAAGTGGCTTGCCCAAGGTCACATAGCAGAGCTATACATTGGGCTTTTTCCAGTTCAGCGTAGCTGTTTCCCGCTGGTTGGTATTCATAACCTAGGATGAGATACTGGAAGAGGAAAGAGTGGCTGGTTCCCTGTAGAGGTTTTCCTCTTTCCTGCCGAGAAAGGTAGGCTCCGTTGTGCCAGGTCTGCCCCGTGCTGGAAATGCCCGCTGCTCCCAATTCCTCATGGTCAGCAATGTTCTTTTCATGGGTCAGCTGCGGCTGAAAATGAGGACGCCGTGCTGTCCCTGAGGTTGGCTTGAGCATAAGGAGAAGGGCACTTTATAGGCATCTGGAAGCAGCCATAAGGTAGGAGCTCATTACCTCATGTGTGCCTGGTGCTGGCCTTGCTGTGGCATTTCTAGGGGGACAGTGGGCCCCCTGCCCCATCCCCATCGGCCCTAAAAATTACCCTGGCTTCATTTCAGGAGGAAAAAGGGGTGTGTGTGTGTGTTTTGGCCATCACCTTGAAGACAACATTGGGGAGTACTAAATTGCAGAGTAGTACAATAAGTTTGGATAGAGAAAGCAGATTTCCAAGATTTGAGCAAAAGGAATTTTGTTTAAGGATTTGGTGTCAGAAGTTGTCAAACAATGGTTTTCACCCCATGAGGTTTCTTATACCACAGAGCTGAGTCACATGGTGTTAGGGTTTTCACAAGAAAATATGTAACGGTACCAGCTAGCTTGCTCTCCCTCTTTCCCTTCCCTTCATCCGTTCCTCCCTCCCCACTTCCTCCCTCCCCACTTCCTTCCTCCCCACTTCCTCCCTCCCCACTTCCTTCCTCCCCACTTCCTCCCTCCCTCACTTCCTTCCTCCCCTCCCTCCTTCCTCCCACCTCCCTTCTTCCTTCCCTTCCTTTATTCTAAGTCCTCTGGCTGAAGGGCTCTGTGTAGGATATTTTTTATGTCTTTACGGAAAAAAGAACACAGATGCTTGAGGGAAGGGCAGGGACTCCCCCAACCTTTTGTTTGCCCCGTGGCCCTCCTTATCTGAGCTGTCAGCCTGGGGCCAGAGGCCAGCCGGGCGTCAGCAGGATCAAAGGTACATGGGAGCTGGGTCGGTGGGGGAGAGCTCCCCTGGCTCGTCTCTGTGTGTCCTGTCCTGCTTCCGTGGCTCCAGGGAAGCTGAGGGGCTGCAGTTTTGCAGCCCCTCAGCCCCTGACCCCCGCTGTGTGCTACACTTGGATGGCAGCCTGGGCCCACCTTGCTCCAGGCCGCTCCTCTCCCCTGGTCGTGTTCCGGATCTTAGTTACAACTCCCCAAACCAGCTTCTTAGATGAAAGGAAGTGGGTGTAGAGGAGCAATTATGAAGTCATCATTCTGGTTTTCATCGCGGAGAGCCTGGAGCCTCTAAAGAGCAAAGGTCTGCTTGTTAGGAGAATTGTAGGGCCGGCCCCAGGAGGCCGGGCTCCTTCCTCCCGGGCACACCCTCTGAAGTCTGAGGAAACGTGAAGGTTTTTGGGAAGTTTCAGCTGCCGTGGTTAGGATTTCAGAAGACTCTTGGGCCTTCTGAAAGAAAGTGAGATAGTAACACCACATGGTTGCTTCTGAGACATTGGATTGAATCAAACCAAAGGAAATGAGATGGTATTGAGAGATTCCTTCGAGGCTCTCTCCTTCTCTTTTACGGGCATCACCCAAATAGAGGATCCATGTTCTTCGCCTCCCTGGTGAATGGTTACTAGGGGCATTTGTACCTCATTCTGGAGTTCGATTGCTGAGAGATGGATGACAGCAAGAGATGCCTTACTCTGTCCTCGTTACTCTGTCCTCATCGGCATCAGATGAAGCGCTAGCCTCACGGGGAGGAATCATGCACAGGGGGCCCGCGCTCCCTGAGGGGCCTGGGGCTGCCCTGGCTTACACCACTGCCCTGTCTTTATTATCCTTAATGCCACTTTTCCCTCTCAAAGATGTCCCCGGTTGTAAGAATAAGCATACGGCGATTCTAGATATGTGGCGCGCGTGGTTCATCCTTCGAGAAACCGAGGTGGCGAGGAGGTTCTGAGGAGAGGACAGGGTGTGGCACGTGGTAACTGGTGGTCGGACCGCTTGATAAAGACAGGAGGGTGCTCGGAGTAAAATTGCAGGAAGAGCGTTTGATCCCGGATTACATGCACCCCTGCCTTTGACCTCCCTATCTGCAAGGACACATTTACAATCTGGGATTCGGGTCCTGTTCCCTCTTCAATCAAGGATTTTTTTTTTTTAAAGATTTTATTTATTTATTTGAGAGAGAGAGAATGAGAGATAGAGAGCATGAGAGGGAAGAGGGTCAGAGGGAGAAGCAGACCCCCTGCAGAGCAAGGAGCCCAATGTGGGACTGGATCCCGGGACTCCAGGATCATGACCTGAGCCGAAGGCAGTCGCTTAACCGACTGAGCCACCCAGGCGCCCTTCAATCAAGGATTTACTGTAAATAACGCCATTCGAGAGCAGGCAGAGGAACGGTGAGCACTTGGGCCCAGAGCCATTCCTGCTCCTCCGACCCTGTCATTTCTTTTCCGAAAAGTCACAGATGTTGTCAGTGCTCCATTTGGAGGAGCGGGAAGGGCATCCATCATTTATCACTTTCAATTCTGAGGTTCTGTTTTAAACTTTTGATAATGGCTCAAAATACGTGTTTGCCCCCATTTATTTTTCTTTAGGTAAGATTTAAAAAATTTTCTGTAGCTTAACGGTTGGTTGGTATGTAGAACGCCACTGTGCTGTAAGCTAGGGACTCTTATAGGGACTCAGGCTTATGTGCAGATGTGGACAGTTCTGGAAACTGAATTTTGCAGAGCTTATTTTAGACCCTCCAGGAGAGAGTGTTCTTGACCCCTTGCCTATCAGCCATATGAGGTTTCCTGGATTCATCTTAGAAAAGCATCCCCCCCAGGAATAGATTTTCTATATTTTTTGGCTCAGTGAGGATCTGTGGTCAGTGGCCCTCTAAACCTTCCCCGAGAGACTTCTGGAGCTTCTCCCTTATCAGTTCTCTGCAGCTATCAGGTCACTGTCCTTTAAGATCCTCGTCTGGAGCCTAAGGTGAGGAACTTCAGTAGCATGTCACTTTTTTTTTTTTTTAAGATTTTATTTATTTATTTTGAGAGACAGAGAGTGCACACAAGCTAGGGGGAGGGGCAGAGGGAGAGGAAGAAGCAGACTCCCCGCTGAGGGGCTTGATCCTGGGACCCTGGGATCATGATCAGAGCCGAAGGCAGACGCTTAATGACTGAGCCACCCAGGCGCCCTGCATGTCACTTTTTTTTTTTTAAGATTTTTATTTATTTGACAGAGACACAGCGAGAGAGGGAACACCAGCAGGGGGAGTGGGAGAGGGAGAAGCAGGCTCCCCACTGAGCAGGGAGTCCAATGTGGGACTCAATCCCAGGTCGTGGGATCATGACCTGAGCTGAAGGCAGACGCTTAACGACTGAGCCCCCCATGTGCTCCGCATGTCACTTCTTAAAGCCTGTTTCAGATCATCCTTGTACCGACCTTTCTCTTCAGTTGTGTCAGAAGTGGATGCTTTTCTTTTTTTAAATAGGTTTACAAACTTCATTTATGATTCAGAAGAATCCATAAACATTTTAAAGTTTCCCATAGAGAAACCACTGTACATAGATGTCTTCTAACAGAAGGCCATCCAGAATTTTAAGGCTCATTTGCAGGTGAAAAGCTGTATTCTTGCAAACATATAATCCAGATGCTGTGTTGACAGATGGGTGGCTCTGTGAGACCCTGGTCTCTGAGCCCAGAGTGGAATGTATTGCTCGCATCCCTGAAGCACATTGTCCATGAATATTCAATTCTTTTGTGGAAAAGGAATATGGAAAAGTGCTGAATTCACACCAGAGGCAACACAATATAGGGGGCTTCTGGCCTGTTGATTTGTAAGGTCGAGGGGTGGGAGTCAAGTTTTGGGGGTCAAGTTATACTTACTTAATATTTGTCGACTGTTCCATTATGTCTCCTACCTTTTTTTTTTTAAGATTTTATTTATTTATTTGAGATTGAGAGAGAGCACGAGTTGGAGGGCAGAGGGTAAGGGAGAAGCAGGTTCCCCTCTGAGCAGGGAGCCCGACGTGAGGCTCAATCCCAGGACCCCAGGATCATGATCTGAGCCGAAGGCCTGACTGAGCCACCAAGGTGCCCCTTATGTCTCCTACCTTAACATCCTCTGGATGGATTCTTATTTAATGATTTCCAAAGTGGCAGTAAAACTTTATCATGTTAGAGGGAGGATCATTATAGCATGATGATCCAACATATTATCCTGTACAAGTACTGGACACTTCATTTATTTGGGAATATAGGTGGGATTCTGTAACTCATTAGTTCTTTTTTTTTTTTTTTTTTTAAAGATTTTACTTATTTATTTGACAGAGACACAGCGAGAGAGGGAACACAAGCAGGGGGAGTGGGAGAGGGAGAAGCAGGCCTCCCGCGGAGCAGGGAGCCCGATGTAGGGCTCGATCCCAGGACCCTGGGATTATGACCTGAGCCGAAGGCAGACGCTTAACGACTGAGTCACCCAGGCGCCCCTGTAACTCATTAGTTCTTAATAGAGGGAGTGTTTATGGCATTATTAAGAAACATAATCTGATCCTTTCTCTTTCCCCTGTAGGTACATGGCTAAGCGCTGGACACCGGCTGCACCTTACCCAGGATTCCACAGTTCTCTCATGGTGAATTCTTGATGGATTTCACTCCTGGATGCTGGTTACTCTTGGGCAGGAGACATGGCTCTGATCAGGCTGGGTTTTGGAGGGCAGCATCTTTGTCTGCTAAAGAGAAGGAGTTCCTTGCTGTTGAAACTCACAGCTGTTGTCTTTGCCGTGCTTCTGTTTTGTGAATTTTTAATCTATTACTTAGTGATCTTTCGGTGTGATTGGCCTGAGGTGAAAACGCCATTCCACAACAGTGGACAAAAGACTCTGAAAGCCATGTTTTTGGCTGATACCCACTTGCTTGGGGAAGTGCGAGGCCATTGGCTAGACAAATTACGAAGGTAGGAGCTACAATCAGGAATCTTTCTGAAATTCTACAGGCAAAAAGGGTGGGTCCCTCTCCCTATAGGTCAGGGTAGTCCTTAGTTATTTTCCTCTCAAAGAGAGACACATGGGGCATTTGACTCTTCCATGAACATACTGTTTGCAGAGCATCTGTTATTTATAAGGACCCAGGATTTGGGAGGCAGGTCTGGGTTTGAGTCTTGTGACTTTGGACCATTTCCTAGGGCCCCTCCAAGCCTGACTCTGCCTCCTTGTTTGTAACTGGCTAATACCAGAGACTTCACAGGCCTTGTGAGGAAAATGTCCACGGCAAGATCTGGCACATGGGTGTGGTTGGCCTGGGTTGGTGGTCCCCCCTGGCAGTTGCTGGTGTGTCATTTTGAGCCCACTTGGTGTTTGCCTGCTCTGGGCAGCCGGAGCAGAGCAGATGTGTGGCTGTCACCCTGGGGAGAGGATCAGGTCCTGTCTCTCCAACTTAGACTGGCCCAGCAGAGTCCACCTGCTTTCCCATCAGAAGGCTTTTTAGGGGCGCCTGGGTGGCTCAGTTGGTTGAGCGTCTGCCTTCGGCTCAGGTCATGATCCCAGGGTCCTGGGTTCGAGCCCCGCGTTGGGCTCCCTGTTTGGTGGGGAGCCTGCTTCTCCCTCTTCCTGCTGCTCCCCCTGCTTGTGCTCTCACTCTCTGACAAATAAATAAATAAAATTAAAAAAAAAAGGCTTTTTAAAAAATTTAATTGTGGTAAAGTACACGTAACATAAAAGTTACCATCGTAACCAGTTTTAAGTGTGTATTTCAGTGGCATCAAGTACATTCACACGGTGGTGCAGCCGTCACCACCAGCCATCTCTAGAATGTTTTCTTCTTCCCAAACTGAAACTTGGTCCTCCTTAAATACCGACTCCCCGTTTCCCTTTCTCCCAGCCCCTGCCCCCACCATGCTACTTTCTGTCTGTCTGGATTTGACTCCTCTAGGTCCCCCATATAAGTGGAGTCGTACAGTATTTGTCCTTTTGTGTCTGGCTTATTTCACTGAGCAGAATATCCTCCAGGTCTGTCCGTGTTGGGGCATGCGTCAGAATTTCCTCCCTCTTTAAGGCGGAGTGCTATTGCAGTGTATATGTAGACCACGTTTTGTTTCTCCGTGCATCTGTTGATGGATACGTCCACCTTTTGGCTGTCGTGAATTACGCCCACCAGAAGGTGACCGATGGGCTTTCAGCCACCAGGGCAGCAGAGTTCTCTTCTTGCCCCTGGTGACCCCCCCCCACCGTGACCCCTTTTCCTCATGACTGCATTTGAGCCTCCCCAAACAGGTCTTTATCCTTGTGAGCAGGACTATCCCTGGAGGACACTGGATATGGGTGAGCCTTATGCTGAGTGGGAGGGGGAGAGGTATAATGTCCCCAGGGGTGAGGGAAGAAGGCGAGACAAAAGAAGGAAGGATGGAGGGGCTGCCGTCCTTCTGTACTCAAGTTTTAAACCAAAGGAGCCATGAGATAGAGAAGGGCCTAGGTGAGCCTTCCTTTGACTTCATTTGGGCCTTACCAGTTGAGCTTTCTTCCCTGCCCTCTTGCTGCTGCAATTTCTAGATGCTTTCTTCTCCAGGGTGAGTAACATTCAACCAAGAAAAACAGAACTGAATTTTGGGAGGTATCTTGAGTGGTGGTGTGCGCTGTGCAGCAGTTTATATGGGGCCTAGACCAGGGTCCTCGCTGACCTCAAATTATCTTTCCCTATTTCTGTGCCTTGGGATGTCACAGTCCCCTTTGGTAGGGGAGGAACTCTGTGAGGCTTGGAAATTTTGCTTAAGGAGGTTGCCTTAAAAAGGAGGGAAGAATTGGGATCCTTAGGAAAATGACACAGGTCAGAGTTGGCCAGGGAGAGGGGAGGGTGTTTCGAGAAAGCACTGGCCTGTGAACGCCTACGGTGTGTGGGTGCTGTGCTGGGCGCATTACAAATGCTATCTCATTCAATCCCGTAACTGCCCTGTGAGAGTCGGTTTTATTATTCCCATTTACCAACGAAGAATAGGAATCAGAGAGAGTAGGTGACGTTCTCAAGGCCGGACAAGGGCTTATGGGTGGAGCTGGGGTGTTAAGTCGTTGCCTGTCAGGTTCTGGATCCCAGGAGGGATTCTTTTTTTGATTATTTACTTATTTGAGAGAGAGTGAGTGAGAGTGAGCACGAGCTGGGGGGAGGTGGGGCAGAGGGAGAAGGAGACTCCCTGCTGAGCAGGGAGCCCATTGCGGGACTTGATCCCAGGACCCCAGGATTATGACGTGAGCTGGAGGCAGACGCTTAACTGACTGAGTCCTCCAAGCGCTCCCTAGGCTCTTTTCATTCACTTGTCTTATCCACAGGATGAGTCCTTGGATGTCTGAAATCTACAGGATTTACAGTTTTGATATTGGCTAGTCTGATGCTCCCATTATCTTCCCCCAATTCTGAAGGCAGGCAGGAAGTTGAGGTCCTTCAAGGAGAAGTGAAACTTAAGGCAGATGCTATCATCTTGGTGTGGTGCAAAATCAGTCTACGCAGGGCATCTTTGGAAGCTGTGTTGAGCTCTGACTTTTGGGGCTTGTCGTGACTGAGGGATGGCTTCTGTGGTGCAGTGTGGGGTCTGATCTGTGGGTGCCACATAGGGGAAGTCAGCCTTTAAGATGTGTGGGCGGGGCAGCCCGACTCTGCCTCGGGCTCCTCGTTCCCCACATTTCATCAGATACGGACTCGGACCCTTGCAGGCCTGGATGGGAATGCAGGGGTGGGGCCGTGGAAGGAGAATGGGACTATTCGGTTCACTTTTTAAATGGCCCATAAGACAGATCTAGGCTCTACTTAAGAAAGAGACTGATGCTGTGCTTTTTCCTGTTGACCTCAAGGGAGTGGCAAATGGAGAGAGCCTTTCAGACGTCTCTGTGGTTGTTGCAGCCAGAAGTCGTCTTCATTCTAGGGGACATCTTTGATGAAGGGAAGTGGAGCTCCTCCCAGGTAGGACCCTGTGATCTGGGCACCCTAATTCTACTTTGAGGGTCCAGGACAGGCAGCCCAGAAAAATCCATGAAGCAGTATCTGTGAGGCTTAGAAGTTTTGCTTAGCACCAGCACTAAACATGTATAGTCCATCTTGAAGCTTATTAGGATCTGTATCTCATGCCAGTCTTGGGTTAGGCAAGCTAATCTTAGACAGTTGACCCTTGCGCATTGCTGGGGTATGGACACTGACCTTGTGCAGTCAAAAATCTGTGTATAACTTTTGATTCTCCCAAAACTTAACTACTAATAGCCCACTATGGACTGGAAACCTTGCTGGTAACACAGTCGGTTAACATGTGCTTTGTATGTTACGTGTATTCTATTCTGTATTCTTAGAATAAAGTGAGCTAGAGAAAAGAAAATGTTGCTAAGAAAATCATAAGGAAGAGAAAATACCTTCACGGTACTGTACTGTCTTTATAAAAAAAAGCCCATGTATAAGCTGACACACTCCCAGTTCAAACTCATGTTGTTTGACTGTCCACTGGGTTTGTTTACGTAGGAAATAGGTAGATTAGTCAGAGCTCACTTTGTTGGAATGCACATTCCCGTGAGCCTCTTGGGAAAGGGAAAAAGAGCCAAGGTGCATGCAATTTCACTTGTCACCAAAATTACAGAATACATATTGAAATGTAATTTGACTTTACACTTGATCATTTAACCATGAAATTATGAGAATTGTGCTATAAAAGTTACTTGCTACCCTCCTTTTAAATTTTTAAAATTTTTTAAATTTATCAGAGAGAGAGAGAGTTGGGGGAGGAGCAGAGGGAGGGGGAGAAAGAAACTCAAGCAGACTCTGTGCTGAGAGCGGAGCCCAACGTGGGGCTTGATCTCACAACCTTGAGACCTCAGCTGAAATCAAGATTTGGATGCTTAACTGTGACTGTGCCACCCGGGCACCCCTCCTCTTAGCAGAAGGAGCCATGGGGGCCTGGTGTGAGCTTCCTGCACCTTCAGGGGCCTCCATCTGGGTGTTGAGCTGACCTAAGCCTTTCCATAACCCAAGAGAAAGGCTGTTTTCACCTTAGCTATCAAAATATTTTACTTAACTATATTCCTGGAATTAATGGAAAAAAGAAAAAAACTGTTTTGCTGCTTAGTTAAAAATGTTTGGTCATGAATGGTTTTAGGAGGGATTTTGGGGGGGGTGGGATATTTAAAAAATTTTTTTTATTTAAATTCAATTTAATTAACATAGTGTAGTATTAGTTTCAGAGGTAGAGTTCAGTGATTCATCAGTTGTATATAACACCCAGTGCTTGTTACATCACGTGCCCTCCTTAATGCCCATCATCCAGTTACCCCATCTCCCACCCACCTCCCCTCCAGCAGCCCTGTTTATTTCCTAGAGTTAAGAGTTTATGGTTTGTTTCCTTCTCTGTTTTCATCTTATTTTTCCTTACCTTCTGTTATGATCCTCTGTTTTATTTCTTAAATTCCACATATGAGTGAAATCATGTGGTATTTGTCTTTTCTGACTGACTTATTTCACTTAGCATAATACCCTCTAGTTCATCCACATTGTTGCAAATGGCAAGATTTCATTCTTTTTGATGGCTGAGTAGTATTCCAGTGTGTGTGTGTGTGTGTGTGTGTGTGTGTGTATGTGTGTGTGTTCATGTTTTTATATATACACCACATCTTTATCCATTCACCTGTCGTTGGACATCGGGGTCTTCCCATAGTTTGGCTATTGTGGACATTGCTGCTATAACCATTGGGGTGTGTGCCCCACACTGTTAACTGTTAACATGTGCCCCTTCGGATCATTATGTTTGTATCCTTTGGATAAATACGTAGTAGTGCAATTGCTGGGTCGTGGGGTACCTCTACTTTTTTTTTTTAATTTTTTTATTGTCATGTTAATCACTGTACATTACATCATTAGTTTTTGATGTAGTGTTCCATGATTCATTGTTTGTGCATAACACCCAGTGCTCCATGCACAACGTGCCCTCTTTAATACCCATCACCAGGCTAACCCA